CATCTCTTTCCCCTGGCGTAGACTGGTGCCCACCCCGGCCGTGGTGAGGGCTGGGGACAGCAGTGCGAGGTGGTGTGTGAAAGCACGGCCAGGGTGCCGGGCAAGTCCCGGGGCTGAAGGACACATGCAGCCTCCTCAGGTGTGCCCTTGGCTGTGCACGGCTGCCACCCGCCCTGGGCACATGGGTCCTGCCCTTACAGCTCCTTTCCTGGGCACACAGTGCTCTCCAGGAACTGGCTGAGAAAAGACAGGGAATAAATAAACTCTGATTCGTACCAAAGCACATCTCTGTAAAGCCCATCAGGAGAATTCCCAGGAGGAGTCTAGTGGCTGAACTGTGGCTGCACTTTGCTCCCACAAAGGCTGGACCAGAGAAGGGGACCCTGGAGCAGGTCCCATGGGCTGCAAAAGGGCAAGGTGACTCCCACCCCTCCATCCTGTGCTCGGCCGCTCCGGGAGATGGCCCTGCGCGCCCCTGGGAGAGGAGAGGAAAGGGGAGAGAAGGGGAGGGCGGCAGCCAGGGGTGTTGGTGATGACCATGGGTCCCCAGCCCTCCCCAGGGGCGAAAGGCCGCCGGGCTGATGCTCCTGCCGGCCGCCCCCGCATCTCCCGTCCTGCGGCCCCGCATCCCCGGTCCTGAGGCTCCTCCCTGCGGCCGCCGGACGCAGAGGCGGCTGCCCGGGCAGGGGACAAGGCGGGGACGAGCCCCTGTTCCCCCCGCGGCCCCGATCCCCCTCCCTGCCCTGCCCGGCCCCCGCGGCGGCTGACAGTGCTCCCCGGGGACCCCTCTCTTGAGCCTCGGGAGCCCACCGGGACACACCAGAAACATCACCGGCGGCTCCCTCCAGAGCCTTTCTCTACAGTGGGCTCGGACCTGCACAGCTCTCAGCATGGGAACAGTACATAAAAGCTACTCTGGACATCCAGCCACAGCCATTCCTAGCCCTGACCACAGAGCACATTCCTCTGAGGCCACACAGGCAGGTACTGTCTCCTGTCTTGCCCTCTTAGCAAGGGCTTGGGCTCAGCCCTGGAAAGGTGGTGTGGGATGAGCAGGAAGGCTCAGGGAAAGGGGGCAGTGCTGGAGGCAAACCCAGGGCTGCCCTGGCTCAGCCCTGCATCCTTCCACCTGCACTGACACTTGGCAGAGGGGACAGAGGGCACAGCGGGCACAGCAGCCAGGGCAGGGCACACTCAGGCTGCTCCTCAGGGCAGCTCCCCCAGCCTGGTCCTGACTTCAGTTCAGGCAGGGAAAGGGCTGTGAGGGGTGAGCTGTGCCAGGCAAGCAGTCCTGCCTGCCAGAACCATGGTGTGGTACTGTCACCTCCCTGCCCTGGAGGAAGTCCTCACCTGCCACTTCTCAGGCACCCAGCTGCTTTCTCTCCATCTCTGGGCACAGTCTGGCTATACCAGGGAATTGAATGAATACCAGGAGGGAATAGCTGCTGGGAAGTCATAGAATCATAGAATGGTAGAACTGCCTGGGTTGGAGGGGACCTTAAAGATCACCTGGTCCCAACTCCCCTGCCACAGGCAGGGGCAGCTTCTACTAGACCAGGTTGCTCAGAGCTCCATCCAGTCTGAACTTGAACACTTCCAGGCACAAGGCACCCACAGCTTCTCTGTTCCAGGAGTGGAACAGCCTCACCCAAACCCCTGTGATGCTTCCAAGGCCAGAATCATCTCCCTCTGGATCCTGTTCACTGTCTGTTTTCAGCTCTCTTTTGAAATGGCCAAATTAAAGGGGCTGGAGGCCCTCAGATACTCCAGCCCACATTTTAAAAGCATGATTTCCAAGGACTTTGGACCCTCCACTGCCTCCTGGAACCGTGGATAGGCAAGACCCATGAGGAAAATAAACTAAAAGGTTCTGCCAAAAGAAACAGCAGGCACAGGCTCTGCAAACACAGAGAAAGCCTCCCAAAATAAGCAGCCACCCTGGCAGGACAGCAGACAAGAACAGTCCCCATATGCTGATTTCCTTCTTGGCATCCTATGGAAATCATGCCTGGTTACAACCCCCTGGAGCCTGAGGGATCAGTTCCAAGATCACAGGAAGAACTCAAAGGAAAGTACCGGGCTTGCTGCTGAGAGCCCAGGCTGAGAATTTAAAATGTAGTGACAGAAGGAAGCAATGTGGAAGGTTTCTGTTATGAAAGTGTTTTCTGATACACTCTTGAAAAGGCAAAACTGCTCAATGGATTCAGCTTGTGAGTTCTATTCCTTCAGCTCCTGGTCTAGCTAGGCACACTAAGGAAAAACCAACCCCTCTGATCCCTGATCCCTTAGTGACTTCTCTCTGCCAAATGCTGTAACCAACCACATCCCTCAGGAGAACAGAATAAACCAAGCAGGCAGCCTCTTCCTGATAAAACCCAAAGGCAGGTCTCTGCTGGGATGTGCATGTCCTCCCTGGGAAGAGATGCCAGAAAAGATCATATCCCAGCTTGGCATTAGCAGGGAGGTGAATCCGAGCTGGGAATGCTTCTAGGTTTTATTTTTACCACTGCTGTGGGAAAGCCTGTTAAATCTCCAGAGCCACGGCAACATGGATGCTCCTGTGTCCCCAGGCTCGGCAGGGCTGACAGGGCTGCGTGTCACCTGCACAGGGACAGCTCCTGCTGCAAGCTCTTGGTGGCTGCAATTAACTTGTACTTAAGCCCAGACAACTACTGATTTTTGGGGTGGGTTTTTTTTGGTTTCTTTTTCTACAGTGTGTCTAACAGCCATCAGGATTTTTAAAACTTGAGCTGGCAACGGGTTCCCACAGTTGTAGGAACTCCTGGAGCAGGAGATCTGTGCTGGGTACCTTGCAGATGCTCTCAGCAGCTGCTGTTAAAGCAGGAGGAGGTGAGACCTGAGGTCTGCTGGATAGGAGCTGAGGGAAAACCTTACACTGGTTCCCTTATAATGTGGCACTGTGCTCTGGGCTTGGGAGGTGGGTTTGGGACCTCCAGGGGGAGGTACCAGGGATGCCTGGAGGTATGGTCTGGCTACAAGCCCTCATCAGGAGCCCCAAATTTTTCCCCATTCATGCACAAGAGCTCACCTTGTCCTGCTGCCCTGCCCTGCTGATGGACAGGCAGGGAGAGACCTCAGCTTTACAGAAGGTCCATCCTTCAGCCCTGGTACAAACGGCGCATGGTAAAAAATGGCTCCTGCCAACAGCAAATGGAGCCCAATGCTGTTTGCAGAGGCCCAGCCCTGGGGACAGTGGACAGCAAGCACAGTGCAGTGACAGGCAGAGGGAGCCCCAGGCTAGAAAGTAAAGGGATGAGCAGGGAAAGGTGTCCAAGCCATCCAGGAGATGCGCATGTCCCTGGCACAGCAGTGGGAGCCGATGCTGCCACCTCTGAGTGGTCCCAGCCTGGCAGAGCTGTGATATCCCCCCCTTTTGAACACCTCTGCTCTTTAGGAAACTTATGAAAAGAAAACGTCTCCTGTTTCCTCATCAGCCCCCCTGGCAGGGCCAGCCAGCACAAAAGGACTGGAGCCTGTTCCAACCCTGGGCCCCTGCAGAAACCAGCTCCAGGGGAACAAGGCTGTTCAGAGATGGAAACTGGAACTGCAGGTCAGAGGCTGGGATCTTGAAGGAAATATCAAGCAATGTTAACTGAAGAAAAATCTAGAGGCCTGGGGAAGTCAGACACAGGGAAATAAACAATAACAATAACATCCTATAAAAATCTCTTGCACCAACAGAACCTTCTCCTTAAAGAACCTATTTTTCCAGAGATTGCAAGGGCTGCTCAGATAGCATTCACTCCCCATGAATACGAGTGTTCAGCCCCGTTCAGAAATCAGCCCCCTCTAAAGAACTTTGCATTAATTCTCCAGCCCCTTCCATGCACAGTTGGCCTGCAGAGAAAGGCAGGATCACCCCGGGGTCCCCCAGAGGAAATGGGGGAATTCTCATGCTCTGCATGCTCAGAGACTGCATCGTGATGGCAGCAAGCTGCTGGCACAGGGCAGAGATTGCCCTGCTCCAAAGCACAGCATCACTGCTTGATCTGAGCTGCAAAATTTACCATCCAGCAGCTCATCAGAGTGGGAATCACACTCAGCAGCTGGCGTTTACGTGCTCAGAGTGGGCTCCTACGTGCCCATGGGCAGTCACAGCTTTGGCCAAACGTTTGCAGGGGAAGTTGCAGGACATGAGGTTTGAGTGGCAAAGGCTGCAGTCAGCAAGCACTCATCTCTTTGCTATACAGATAGCCTGGAACTAACACCTAGCAGGGGGGAGGAGCCTGGCATCCTTTCTAGAAGGTACTTTGGGCCCCCACCCCCATTTTTCAGCCACCTTGAATAGAGGTGGAACTGGTGCAGCTCTCTCCCCTTTGGACTGAACACAGCAGCCAGTTAACTGACCAGACACTCTCAGTGTCTTCTCTCAGTGAAGTCTGTCATAGGAATTACAGATAACACACACTGGATTTTCCATGAGGGAATGGCATGGGTTAACTGTGCTCAGCAGCACTGCACCTGACACAACAGGGAATACACTGAATGGTTCCATGTTGCAGTATTCAGATGGAACATCCGTGCTGGAGCAACTGAAGACGTGGATCCATCAGCTAATGAAGCACAGTGGTCACTGGCACCAGACAGAGAGGGGATTTAACAGTTGACCACGCCTGAGTCCCCCAACCACCTGCACACCTAAGAGACAGCCCACCCACCTACCATCTGGTCTGCCAGAGCACATCATCTGAGCACAGCGATTACTTGTGACAGAAACCAGCTGAAGTTTCACACTGCAGATCTCCTGAGTAGCTCCAAACACTTCGACATGACCTGGTGAGTGTCCACATCAGTATTTTTCACCCAGGGCTTCAAGGTATGAGAAGTGAGATCTGGTGTTGAGCCTCCACAAGAGACAAGGAAACATATATTAAACAACAACAGACATAAATAACAAAAAATAACACTCACACAAGACAAAAAAAGGTGAGGAAAAACAGACCAGAAATAGGCAGCTACAAAGAAACAATGCTGTCACATTCAAACACAGGCCCATCTCTCCTTCATATATTGCTCCAGATCAGAGCTCTAACAATTCTCATCACAAGTCAGTCTCAGGACACAATGCACTTATCCCAAACAACAGATACACACACCCCAGCCTCTCCAGTATTTGGCTTTTTCACAGTCACATGGGCCAGAGTCTTTACAACAAGTTTTTTCAGGATGCTGAGCAGGCTTTCCTTTGGCAGTATGGTCATGAGTGGGTCTAGTATTTTTTTTGAGTTCAGGACTAAAATACTTCAGAGTGCTCTCAGCTTTGCTCTGCAGGCAGTTCTTGGTACAGAACAGATCACTACTGTCTTTAGTGAATTTAAAGGACTTTAACCCAGTCCTTTAAACCTGCTAAAACAGGCAGAGATGGAAGCAAGACTACGCTCACATGCTCTGTTAAACAGCTCCCTCCTGCGGATACATGCTCTGTGCCTGAGAACTCCAGGCAGGATTCAGACGGTGAGGCTGCAACTCCCCAGTGAGCACAAACCACTTATTGTCCTCGTGGCCACTCTCCTCAGAGTGCCCCAGGGCTGCCCACGCGTGTTCCCATCCAGCCGCTGGCTCCAGCGGTGTTCCCGAAGCAGCAGCCACTCTTAACAACAGGAAGACCCCGATTTGGAGCTGGAGTGCAGGTCAACGGTGTGGCCCAGCATGCAGTGCTCCAGCTGCTCCTCCACCGCCAGCACCTGTCGCACAGCTTCCTCAAAGGCCACTGTCACATTGGTGTCGTCCTTGGCACTAGTCTCCAGGTACGGATAGTTACCGTTCTCCATGCACCAGGCCCGGGCCTCCTCCGTGCTCACCTGTCTCTCCAGTTTGTCTATTTTGTTGCCCAGGACTACAAACGGGAAGTGTTCGGGGTCCTTCACGTCAGCATAATAGACAAACTCCTTCTGCCAGTTACTGAGGTTCTCGAAGCTCTGCCGGTCGTCCACGCTGAAGGTCAGCAGGCAGCAATCTGCCCCCCGGTAAAAGGGCGTCCGCAGGCTCTTGAACCGCTCCTGTCCCGCCGTGTCCCAGATCTGGAGGGTCACAAAACGCCCGTCCACCTCCAGGTCCCGGTTCAGGAACTCCACCCCGATCGTGTGGAACGCCTGCGAGTCAAACTTGTTGGTGACGTAGCGGTTCATGAGGGAGCTCTTCCCAACTCCACCATCCCCGAGGAGAATGACCTTCAGGAGCAAGGACTTCCCACTCATTGCAGCAGGACGGAGGGGGGGGTCCCAAGGCAATCTGCAGGGTTCAGAAATAGTACAAAACACCCATTTGACTTGTGGATTCTGCAGAAAGACACATACAGAAGAATAGAATATGGCATTTTAATCCCCATCTCTGAACAAGTTTTGTATATAGGAGGTAATCTCCTATACAGGAGGTGATCTCTCTTTTTAGAGAGAGATCTTATTATTCTAATCTCTCTTACTAGAGAGATTACAGCTGGGGACTGGACGAGCTTTCAGGCACATGAGTCCTCCATCAGGTCCAAAATGGATTCAGTGGGTCACCACTGTAAGTGCAAGATGAGAACAATGTCGACAATTTAGTACCAACTATACTACTTTTAGTGAAAACTCTGCATTTATAAGCTTGTCCAGTTTTTCTAAACAGATCATCACTAGTTAAACATCTCTCCTGGCCTGCATCCTCAGGCTATCACAGGAACAGCAAAATCACCAGGGGTGCCTATCACTAGGCCTTCCTTCCCACTGTACCATCACCAGCTAAATAATTTCTCCTATCTGACTTGCTCCACTGGAGGGATGTAACAAACGTGCAGGTCTGTATCAATGCAAGAGATTCGTCAGGCCAGCTCTGGATCACCCTGAGGATGCTGACTCACCAGCGGAGCTGCGCGTGATCCCACGGCTCAGAAGGGGTTTCCCAGGCACAGGGACCAGCTGCTCTGCTGCTCCTTGCTGGCAATGCTTGTCACAGCCCAGTTTGCTCGGGTTCAGGTGCAAGTTTACACTGCAACAACCCCGACACCACAGGCTCCTTAGTCACCAGCCTCCAGGCCAAGTGCCAACGCATCCTCCCCCTCCCAGGGATGCTCTACAGGCCTGACATGGAATAAGAGGTTTGTTTGGCTGTTGTACTGTACCTGCTCTGGTGATATAGTTGTCTCTGGGAGTGTCCAGGGAACACTTTCCTCCAGTGTAACAGTCACTAAAAAACAAACATCAGTCATCCAGGTTGCCAGAGCTGCCCTCGGTGTCTTTGTTTGGGATGCTGATCCAGGATGGAAGAACAATAGCAGAGCTCTAGGAAGCTGCAAGAGCAGTACTGATAGCTGGAGTAAAACCGGCAAGAACAAAGCACCAAGGAGTTTCCCTTGCCCTAAGTGAAATGGAACAGAGCCCACACCTGGACAGGGCAGAGCCAGTACCATGTAGATGCTACACCCAAAATAAGAACAGAATAAACTGAAGGGGCTCTGACATGACTGCACAGGCTGTGCACTCTGTGCCTCCCCTCGATCCAGGGCACATTGATAGCTGTGATCTGCTTGGCCTGCCTACTCACACACTCTGCAATCTGATTTAAGGATAGAACATGCACCTGAACCTGCTATCCAGGAGAGTGAGCCAGCTGGCAACAGCCTGGGACCTTGCTTACACCTGCTACCAACATTCCCAGGAAGGGTGTGGATGAGCAGTGCTGCTTAGTGATGGCACCTCCAACCCACCAAAGCAGGAGCCCAGAACAGCACTCCTACTCTGTCCAGGCCAAACCCCACTCTCTGCACTAATTGTGGGGAGTCCTGTTCAACTTTGATTCTGCACCCCTTCCAAACAGTGTGGTAACCACAAAGCCAAAAGCAGAAACTTCTGCTTCTAGTGAATTTCTGCACTTTCTGCACAAAAGGCTCACCAATTTCACTTCCCTGCACAGAAACAGCCCAAACCCAAGCATAGCTGAGCTAACTTGATGGGACATCTGTGTAGCAGTGCACGGTCCAGCAGTCCTAAAGCAAAGAACAAAATGCAAATGTCACAAGAGACAAACAGGACGTGCAGCACAGCTCCCTGAGGCCGTTGGCTTGGGGGAACCCTCCCCTGGGCAGGTGAGCTGCTCAACATCCTTGTTCCTTTCCCAAACCTTGCTGAGGGAGGGTTGAAGATGGTCCTGGCACAGGCCATCAGCCCAGAGCAGATTTTCTGTTTAGAGATGGTTTGTTAGCAAGTGACTCGTTTTAAGAATGACCAGTAGGTGATGTCGGGCCGCTCCGGAGCCCACAAGTCAGCGGGGCGGTGGAAACCGTGACACAGCCGTGACACCGACAGCACATCCTCGTCTGCCCCGCTGTGAGCTATTCCAGGGGCTGACCCCCACTGCAGCAGGGCCGCCAGCACCTGTGTGCAGGTAACAACATAGGGAACACCAGCAGGGCAGGCACGCAGGGCCCGACTCTCCCCCCTCCCCGCTCCCCAGGCCCCGGTTCGGCGGAGGTGAGACCCCCCGGCGGGTCCCACGGGAGCGACCAGGGGAGGTGTCCGCGGAGCGGTACCCGCGAGGGGCCCCTCGGCGGGGGCAGAGGGGCAGCTGTCTGTCCATCCCCGCCGTCCATCCCCGCTCCCCTGCCCTGCCCTCACTCACCCTCAGCGCCCTCCGCCCGCCCGGCCCGCGGGGCGCAGGTGCCGCTCAGCCCCGCGCCTGCGCCGCGCACGCGCCTCCCGCCGCCGGCCGCGGGCGGGGCGGGGCCGGGACCCGCCCTTCGACCCGCCCGGCCCCGCCCCCCGGACCCTCAGCGCCCGGCTGGGCACTGCCCTCACTGTGCCCCCTGTATCCGTCAGTGCCCTCACAGTACCTGCTGTGCCCCCCGGCAGTGCCTTCACAGTGCCCGCTGTGCCCTCTGTATACGTCAGTGCCCTCACAGTGCCCACTGTGCCCCCTGGCACTGCCCTCACGGTGCCCACTGTGCCCCCTGTATCCGTCAGTGTCAGCCCCTGGCACTGCCCTCACAGTGCCCGCTGTGCCCCCCGGCACTGCCCTCACAGTGCCCTCACAGTGCCCACTCTGCCCCCTATATCCGTCAGTGCCCTCACAGTGCCCGCTGTGCCCCCTGTATCCATCAGTGTCAGCCTCCGGCACTGCCCTCACAGTGCCCACTGTGCCCCCTGTATCCATCAGTGCCCTCACAGTGCCCACTGTGCCCCCTGTATCCGTCAGTGCCCTCACAGTGCCCACTGTGCCCCCTGTATCCGTCAGTGCCCACCCCGTCACTCCCCTCACAGTCCCGGCATGTCCCCCCGTGCCCCCTCACTGCCTGCCCCTGTCCCTCCCCGCACAGTACCCACGTGTTCTGCCTGTGCCCCCTCAGTGCCCCCCTTCACTCCTCACTCTCCCGTCCCCTCACAATCCCGCATGTCCCCCCTTTGTCACTTCAGTGACAGCTGCCCGAAGGAGTGTGACTTCCCCCACCCTCCCCATCACCAAGCGGGACCAGGAGCGAGAAAGCCTTAAAGAAAGAGGTTTCCTGGGAAGAGCAGCAAATACAAACATCACAGAGAGCTGAAGGGAAAAAACAGTGACAAGGTCACCCCAGCCTGGGCCAAACAGTGAGGGGAGACAGGAGAGAGAGGGTGAAACCAGACCTCAAGGTGGCTGCAGAAGGATTTTGGGGAGCAGGAGCCACTTGTGTGGTTCCTCATGGCTGGCATTGTCAACTCTTCTTCCTGCCAGTGCCTGGTGCCCCCTGAGATACACCTTTGAAATTTGGGGACACATCTCACTGTGTCCCCCAGACATCTTCCCCAGTGGGACAAGAGCAGGGACCCCTTGCACGGACAACCAGAACTTTTGGCCATCTAAACCCAGCACCAGCTCCAGGGCCAAGTGAATGCCGCAGGAGCGCATTGATTCCCTCCTCCCCCCTGGAAAAGCATGAGATGGGAGGAGGATTTAAATTAAGCCAGGGATTATATTAATACCAGCCTTGATCTGTCAGAGGAGATGGGGGACAAGGCAAGCCTAGGGAGGTAAGCAGGGAGTGGCCAGGATGAGGACCCATGTTGCCAGCCTGGGATCAGGGGAGCCCAGGAAAAAGGGGGGTGCTCCTGGGACCTGTATTTGGGGCACCAATATACACACCAGCATCAGAGCCAGAAGCTCAGGATGCTGCTAATACAAGGGACAGACCCAGGCTGCACCACGTGCTGGGGCTTTCTCTGAACCAGTCCAGGTCCCCATGCCAGCCCTGACAGGACCATGCATTGCTAGGGTGAGCCTCTGAGCGTGGCACACTTGCCTCTGCCAGCTCCCTTTGCCTGGCAGCCGTTTAATCCTGTTATTTGCCAGTACTTATTAATTAGAGATCTGATTTAGCATGTAAGGGGCGAGACACCTCCGGAGGAAGAAAGAGCTACCACAGGAGATCCTGCTAAGGCAACTGGGGCACAGTGCTCTGCAGCCATTCCCTGATACCCTGGACCACCTTCCTCAGGGCTGGCAGACACCAAATCCTCAGGGGATGCTGCCTGCAGGGTTTGGGGAGGGCAGCACAGCCAAGGACACCACAGGGCCAGTGACCCCAGCTGACTGTGCCCATGCTTGAGGGGCCCCCATGTATCTACAGGTTAATCCTCAGGCACTTGCAGCTGTTGGGGACTCACTTGCCCATCTGAGCAGGGATGTGCCTGGTCTGGTTTGGCTCCCAGTGCTTCTGCAGCCTGGTTGCCTTGCTGAGCTGGGCAACAACCTGTTTGGCATCTGTGGTGGACTGACTCTGGTGCCCACCAAGCTGCTCTGTCATTCCCCTCCTCAGCAGGACAGGACATAGCAGACAGAAAAAACTTGTGGGTCAAGACAAAGGCAGTTTAATAAAGCAAAAGCCGCATGTCATCCTCTGGATCTTTGGAGACCTCATGATTGTCTAGATCACTATACATGACTCTTCAGCACCAGTTAATTCTCTCACGTGCTGGGTGCCTTCACTTGTGGTGGTCCACTTTCCTGAGTAGTTCACAAGATCTTCCTTGAATTAATACCTCACCTTCACACCTGAGAGGAGATGCCAGAAAATACTGCAAATTGTGGCCACAAATAGCTGCAGTGGTAATCAGTAGTATTAAACAGCTCACATAGTGGTGAGCAGGGACCTCAGGAGCCTGCACAATAAAGCCACCCACACCAGTCCCAGCTAGAGAGGAGATGTATTTCCTCATCCACTCCAGAGACAGCTCCCCCAGCAGAGCAAGGCCATCAGTGTGCAGGGCAAAGCACAGAGCAGTGGTTTGTACTAACATGTTCCCAAGCCCAGCAAAGCAAAGAGATAAGAGGTGCAGCCAACAAACTGTGACCTGACAGGAGCTGCCTGCTTAGTAAATACTACAGCTATAGCACACTTAGCACAGGCTAAGGAACGGGCTTATCTGGGCACTGCCTTGTGAGCACAGAGAGCTGGCACTGGATGGGACCTCGCCTGTGGGTCCTGGGCACCCCTGGGCAGAGGGATTTCTCTGGAGGTGGGGTTGTGACCCAGGAGACGTGCTGGGTGGGAAGTACAAGGGCTGTGGGGGCTGCACGGGGCAGCAGGGCAGGGTCTCTGCAGGGTGCTGGGATCCTGCAGCAGGAGAGGTTTTACTCCCCAGGGCTCAGCTGCAGCCATCACCTGGCTCTCACTCTCAGCTCTGGGTGTTATGGCAAATGGGAGAATGCTGGTGATAAGGTGAAGGAGCCCTGATCCAGCTTCGAGCGACTGCCAGCCCATGGTCACACAGCACTGCCAGCTCATGCCCCGATTAATTCATCCCACGTCCTGTGCTGCAGCTGGGGCTTGGGTCTCTGCCTTTGTTCCAGCCCCGGTGCAAGGCTCCACAGCTGCTTGTCCAAGAGCTATGCCCAGCAGCAGCTCCTGCCCAACAGGAGTCAACACTCCCCAGCACACAGACCCCATGAACAGTCCTGCCACCCTCTGCCTTGGCAGCCCCCATTTTCCCCAAGCCCACAGCTCTGAGCAGTGGTTGACAAGCACCTCACCACCCATTTACCTCCCCAAGAAGGAACTCCACAGCTGAAGCAAAGCTGGAGAAAACCCCCTGATGAATCCCCCTCCACCCCACACAGCTCAACATGCCCTAGAGAAGTGACCTGTGCAGTTCCTGTGAGCTGGTCTGAGGCAGCAGGGAGGGGCACATGCCTGGGCTGCAGAGCTGCCTCTCTGAGACACAACACTGCAAGCAGGGGCTTGTTCGACCATCAGTGCAACCGCAGGCCTCTCAGCGGCCCAGCCACTCACCACTGCCACAGCCTCTGTCCTCGCCTGCTTGTCCATCCCCTGCTCTTCCCCTTGGCCAGTTATCAGGGACAATGTCGGATGACAAGGCGGCAGAGCAGGTAGCACCATAGGAGGAAGCACCAGACATAGTTCTACCCTAATGTAGGTGCACAGGCAGGCTGGGGCTTCAGGACACATCATGAGGCATCTGTTGCAACATGTTTATCTGCTGCCCATGGCTCCTGAGCTGGTTCCTGGAAAGCCGCAGAGGCGTCTGGCAGGCACCAGCTCACGGCTGCATGGAGGGGAGTTCAACCTGTGCTGCCATGGGCTCTGCTCTGGGACTCACAGCAAAGGCACATGGCAGCAGGGACGGAGGAGGGGGACAGAGGGGCATATGGCACCCTGGCTGCCTCTTGGTGAGGAAAGTGCCTGGACAGAGGGAAACTGCTCCTGCTGCTGCTCTGGAGGTGCCTCCATCCTGCCTGTTGGTGATTCTGGGTGAAGCAGCAAAGGACCATATTCCCAAGCTGACCGCCCAGCTTGTACCCTGCGCCCAGCCCAGCCCATACCCTGCACCATGCTGTCCGTGCCCAGCCTGCC